CAGCATGAAACTGGAGGAACTAAACTTACAAATGTTTTCATGGATAGACATGGCTGACTTTGAAATGCAGTTGATTGAATTTCAGAGTAGCTCAATTTGGAAGCAGAAATTTATTGACCTTAGAGTTGACTTGGAAAACATTGAAAAAAAGCAATTAGAGACAGGAGTACCAGAGAGAAGTGTCAAAAACGAACTATTGAGCACTTAGAATGCCTTTCCAGAAATTTTTTTCTGTTTAAAAAACTTTGCAACAGTGTTACTCTCCATGTTTTCATCCACATATGCTTGTGAATCTTTGTTCTCAGTGATGAATTTTGTTAAGTCTCGTAATAGGAGTAGCCTGATGGATGAAAGTAGTAGCTTGTGCATATCTCTGAAGGTCACGAAATATAAACCTGATGTAAAATTTCTGTCATCAGTGATACAGCAGCAAAAGTCCCACTGATAATATCAAACGGAGTCATGAAGTTTTCTGTCGGACTATCAGTGTACATGTGTACATTAAAAAATAAATGTATTTTTCATCATCATATACTGTGTTTTTGTCGCTAGAATTAATTTTATTATTTCTTCAAGGTTCTTCACATATGTACACCTTAAGAGATATCAAGTAGGCGTAACATGTTCTCCAAAAATTAGGGTTGGCATGCAGAAGAATTTTGAGTCAGAGATTTTGCTGGTTTTGGTATGCACTCACAAAAAGGTTGCCACCCCTGGTCTAAGGACTCACAGTGTTGTGACTTGGCTATAATCTCATTAATAACTTAATACTTCAGTATCATTAGTTGTTTTAACTTCAAAGCCCTGGAGTTTTCAGGACAGATGATATAGTGAAATTCCAGGATATTCATTTACTCACGTAATCACTGACATTTAAACTCAAGTCTCTCCCGTTAAAAACAATGACAACAGCACCTTCCCTGGACTCCATTTCCCCTCTGGTTACTGCCGTCTCTCTCCCACCATCTCCCCACGGTTGACCTTCTCCCACCGTCTCTCTCCGCAGCTGACCTTCTCCCACCGACTCCCCACGGCTGAACTTCTCGGGAGCTTGATGTACTCGCTGTCTCTCTCTCTTGTCCATCCACTCACTTCTAATCTGACCTTCCCCTCCACCCACCACAGCCGTCTGATGCTCCCGGGACCCTCCGAGTCCTCCTTTTACTCCATCTGCCCCTTCTCGACACACTTGCTTCCCTTGCTGTCAGTCTCCTGGTTTTCCTCTGCCTCCAGGGTCTCCCTCCCAGAGATTCCTACAGATGGCTGTGACCTGCTAACACTTCTCAAAGCTCAAGCCCTAGACCACCTTTTCTTCTCATTTTCTAACTTTTATTGAAGAAATCTTATCCATTTATATGCCAATAACTCCCATATTGACATTTCCTTCCCAGACCTCCCGTCTGAGCTCCAGGCTGTGTATCCAACTGTGTATCTCCATCCCCACGTGGCTCCTCAAATACAACACATCCGTCCGGAGGGAGCTCCTGACCTTCACCCACCCAGGCCCGTGTTTGCTGTCTCAGGGAGTGGGGCTGAGTTCACTGATCCTGAGACCTAGAGGTGGTTTTGAAACTCTCTTCCTCTTAGTACTGCCTCCTCTAGTGCCCAGTACGTTAGCAACACCTTCTTTTCTCTCTCAGGTACACCCACATCTCTGCATCCATGCTCCCCTCCTCATCCAGTTTAACACCTCATCCTGCCTGGTCCCTCTCCTCCCCCTTCTCTACCTCGTCTCTCTCCCCCACTGCAACCACAATGACCTTTGGAAAATGCAAGTCTCATCATGCAACTTGGCTGCTGAAACCTTTCAATGACTTGCCATGGCCTGCAGCAGACAAATCACACTCTGCCTACCTCTTAGCTCCGCTTGAACCGACCTCACCTGGCGCCCTCTGCTCCCCGCTTCCTCGCTGACTTTCTGGGAATAGAAGCCACCCTTCTGGTGAGGACACTCCAACCAATGCAGCCACCTGGCCAGGGCCTCACTCACGTTCAGCCTCAGGCTCCAGCGCAGCTGTTCACCTTGTGTGACGCTCTTCTCCCTCTGTGCACCCTCGGTTGTCTAGGTAACTGCTGCTGCCAGATGTCAGGTCACTTTATCTCGGCGGCCTTCCCTGACCCTCGAGACGGAACCAGATCTCCCTGCTCCACTCTCGCAGCACCCAGTTCCTCCTCGTAGAAATCAGCGCCCTTTGTATTTTGTTAAATAATGATGTGGTTCATGTCTGTCTTGCCCACTAACATGCTAGTTCCATGAGGGCAGTACCTATGTTTATTATTATTAACATTTTATCCTCAAAGCCTTGGGCAGCGCGATAAAAATTTGTTGAACCAACGAACAAAGACGTAAACAAATGAAGGTCATAGAGGCTTGCCCAAGGTCAAGATGAGAAATAGCCAGGAACTCTGGTTTTCAGCTCAGATCACCAGCCTTCTCAGCAGGGAGCTTGTCCGGGATGTCCTGCATCACGGGGACCAAGCAACTTCCCAGCCCATCACGTCCAATTTCTCAGCCCTCGCATTTCCTATGATTACGTTTATTCAGCAGGACAGTGCTGTAAGTATGGTCATTTTTCTTTTTCCCATGCAACACATGCTATCTTGTAGTCTATTTTGAGGGGGATATTATGAGAAACCAGGCCACTGTTTAAAACGTGTAAAGATTCCTGAGGTTCTCAGAAGAGATATGAGGTGTCGTTCATGAAGAGCAATTTTGTCCCTTGCACTAGAATGTTCTGTGTAAAGAAAAAAATGCTCTCAATTTCCAAAGCTGCTGTCTGCAGAAGAGCATCCTATTAGGTGGGCTAGTCATCGTCATACTCCCAGGATGATACACCTTCTCTTGCAAGTATAAAAGGCAGAGGCCATTGGCTGTTTGGAAGTGCCCTGTGTTATAAAAGCCACGCAAAATGGCCAGTGGTGGTTCTATTTATAAGACAAGTTGTTTATCCCTGAAGAAGTTTGAAGATGTGGTTCTCAAGGGTGTTTGTGCTGTGGATGAAAATGGAATCATTGTGTTTGAACTCCCCTTGCTCACGTCAGTGACCCCCACCCTCAGCCAACCCCGCTTATAAGCAGCCACGCATCCCC